GATCGGAAGGTAGAAATTATCACTATGGTAGCGCCGTTACCTACTTTCGGGTTCTTTATTTCCATAGTTAAGTATCTAAATTTGTTCCTGAGTGAACAGCCACAACATAATCAGGCTTCATTTGATCTAATTGTGAAAAAAAAACTCCAGTGGTCTGGGCGGGATATTAACGCACAACAACAAGTTAAAGGCTTCGGGGCAGTTAGTACTCTAATCACCTAATTTACGAGGTTCCACCTGGAACCGTGAGTTTAATCCCACCTGGGTCTACTTAGTCGTCCAGCCTACTGCAACTCATGGGAGCCACAACTTCTGCTATACTAAGCTGAAGAATTGCTCAATCAGTATCTTCTAAGCTATCAATCTAGAATCCACCAAATAACTACCAGACACACTTACTTAGTAGTGAGAAGGGGAGGGAACGGCTTCGAATCGGAGAACACATTTCCCGACTTAATTTCCCTAACTCCAGGGGTTGTACGGTCATGAACAAAAACGATTTTCCTGCGCGTGTAACAGTGTTGACTGGACTGTCGCTACAAAACCCGCCCCACTGTCTTTGATAGCGTTCAATGCCAACTTCCCAGGACCTTGACCTAGTGCCTGACAGGTTTTTTTGCCAATATCAGACTGCCTAATTGACAGAGGCCTCACCTTGCCGACAATACTAGCGAAGTAACTGTCCATCACCACCACTTGTATTCCCTGGACTAATTTAGGCGATAAATGCGTTCTGGCAGGAGGCAGGATTTCTTCACGTCAAGGAGCATCGGCACGACCTTTAAATTGTCTCCGAGTGACAGCTTAAAGCAGCATATCTGCAGCGAACTTCAAATTCCTTTAACTGGAAGACTGGCGCAAACTAGTCTGAGCACTCAATAAATAGGAGTAGGAAGGTTAAAGAAGGCGGTGGGAGCGGAGAGTTTAAATTGCGTGTGTGCAGTGGCTGGACTTGCGCATAACTGTGCCACATTTATGGCAGGACTTATTTTACCCTTAGACCTCCGCTGCAGGCAACCAGGCTGCCTGCGAGTAGCGCAAGCAGTAAATCCAATCGCGTTACGTAGCCAGCTGGTTATCTCTGCCTCCTCCTTCTGAACGTCGCGCTGCGATTGCGTACGAATTACGTTTTGTCGTGTGCGTATTGTTGTCAGGTTTGCAGTGACCTGACATTACTTCTTCCCCACACACTGGCAGAAATATCTGAGGAGACTGTTAGGGATTACTGTCATCGCTGGCCGCCAAATTGTCGCAACATCTTTCTCTGGTAGGCATTATCTTTCGGCGTTTTTTTTTAAGGAGATGCATCCACGTGAACGCCATCGCGCCATCATTAAGATTACCCATTTTATTTTTGATATTAAAGCGCATAAGAGAACAAGACTGACGTTGCTTTGCACAGCCGCAAATACCGCTTCTGCAAGCGTGTCAATTTGCGGGGCATTCACTTGCCAAGCTTCCTCGTATTTCCACTGTCTGTGGTGTACACCTGTCCTTGAGTTTGAAC